ATTTATCCCCAAATTCGATTCATCCCCAAAAATTGGTCTCGCAATCAGCCCGAAAAAAGGAAAAATTTTCGCCGTCGTCACCTCCCTTATCTCTTCAAATCGCCGCCGGCGTTTACAGACAATGAGGTGGACAGTTGTAATCGAGTGTTCATTTACCAAAGGTGTTCAATTCCGCCGGTGGGCAGTGCTAGCCGGAACTTGGACATCTGAAATCCATGGCGACGTGGAGAGGAGATGGACGCCGCGGACTTCATTCGAGACGAAGACGGTATTTTATGGAGAGGCGGAGCGGCTAGATGTTGGTGGTGATAATTGCAGACAGTGGCTGTGCGGCGGCGGGTATGTTCGCGACTGTGGCAGGTCTGGTGATGGCTGGTGTCGATGGCGGTCCCGGTGGTGTTTCAAGTCGGTGGTGGGGCTGGTGGTGGTTGGCAGAGCCGGTCCTGAAAAATTAGAGGCCCTGGGCCAAGCGATAAATAGTGCCCATATTATTTTATAATATATAAATAATTTATCATATTATAAAAAATGCTTAAGAATAAAGATTATAACAAAACTATAAAATTTAATACAAAAAAAGTTAACAAGCGCTAGCGTTCCCATATTTTTTATTTTGCTATCAATTAAATTGATTTTCTAACAAAAAGGATTATTTTAGTAAGTCAACTGATAAATAAATTTGGCAAAATAGATTATTTTTTAAAAAAAAATTAATTCAAAAATTAGATTTTTAACTATTCGAAACAAGTCTTTAGCGGGCTAGGCTAGACAATTCATGTACAATCTCATACCTATACAAACCCATAACAAAGTTATAAAAGATTAATTAACATAACCTAAAGTAATTAGTTATTAGTAAAATACCAAATTGAAAAGTCCAAACATAAAATGGGGTATTAATAATTGAGAAAATTATCCCTGTGTCAGCAACATTTCTTCTATAAGTACAAAAATATAACAGTCAGTTTTTTTATTCCGCATTAATGAGTATTACGAGTGATTAAAGATTTTTATATTCCACAAATGTCATTTGTTTGACTTTCCTGTAAATATTAATTGAATAATTAGCTTTGTATAAAAAAAGGCAAGAATCAGATTTTTAGAGAATTGCGATACGCAATTGATATCTTTATTCAAAATCAATGTCTCAATTCCCAAAAAAAGCATCCTTCTTTTTTGTACTCTTCCTCTTCACCACCTTCGGAACAAATCAAACCTTCATATCCTCTGAAACTCCATTTTTCTTCTGCCAAGCTTTACAGCATATGTCCAAAATAAAGAACTAGGCTATGTTTCTGATTCATCATTCGAAGACCAAATATGAAGCCGAATAAAAAAAAAAAAAATGATGGTTGCAGAAGACGGTGGGTGGTACCCCTCAAAATTTGTGGGCCCTGGGCGGTCGCCCTGCTGGCCCTGCCCCAGGGCCGACTCTGGTGGTTGGTGGGTGGATTGGTGGTGGTGGGACGGTGGTTCATAATTACAGTTTGTGGCTATGCGGCGGCGGGACTATTCGCTGTTGTGGCGGGGTTGGTGGTGGTTGGTGTTGATGGCGGGGCCGGTGGTGTTTNGGTATTGGCTATGGGCCCCAAAATATTTGAGGCCCCAAATTTATATCTACATTATATATATGTGTATGGATTTTTGTTAGTGAATTTTTCTACCAATTAAAAAGCCCACAAAAAATTAGCTTTTACTGGCCCAAGCCCAAACACATATAAGGAAATAATCATAAGCAATAAAAAAAAAAAAAAAAATCAAAGTCACTTTTTCTTTTGGAATTGAAAGCAACGAGAAAGGCAAGTGGAGAGAATATCAAAATAATTTTTCCATCAATATTCCTCATCCAACACATTTCCACACAACTTCCCACGCTAAGATAAAGGTGGTAGGGAAAGAAAAAAAACAGATAAAGGTGGTAACTTAAGATGACGACAAGGATACTTGGAAAAAGAGAGTAATATTATTTCCGTCTCGTAAACACCATTGTGCACTATACTCCTCCCCTCTATAGCACCGTGCTTTGCTTTTCTTTTTTCTTACATCTATTTCCAAGTTCTACTTTCTAACGGGGGAAAAATTTTTTAGCGTAGCGGATAAACCATTTGGAGCAACGGCTTCAATGATTAATTAAGCCTTTTCAGTCTTCAATTAATTCTTCTATTTATTCGCGAAAGTGAAACACCCAACCGAGAGACCTGCTACAATTATTAGGGTTTTTTGAGTTTGAAGATCATTATCCAAGGCATAAATCAGGTTATATTGTTTATTGATTATATTTTATAATTTTGGTGTTTTATTGTTTGATTCTCAGGCTCTTTTTTATGTGTTTGTCTAATATTATTTTTCACTTTAATGTATGTGTTGAAGAAAGGTCCCCTTACCCAATTTTCTCCATGGGCCCCAAAAATGTCAGGGCCGGCCCTGGATGGTGCATCGGGAGGTTGGGTGTTCTGTCATCTGTGTGTGAGTTGTGTATTAGTGTGTGAGAGAGATGGGGTGGGTTGTGTGGGGCCCACTAATTGAGATGGAAAAACTTGTAAGGACTAATATACCCTTAATATGTGGTCAAATGTATATATTTGACCACAATATGACCATTTAATTATGAAATTACCACGACATATTTGACTGACATTAATTAAATTTGACTTGATCATGATCATTGATTTGATAATCTAGTGGTCTAGATTTATTCTTATTTCTTTCACTATCTACCATTCTCACATGATATATACCCAGTAATTAATAATAATATGAGTTCAATTAATAAAAATAGGTGTTTATTTAATAAAAATATGTCCACTATTTAATAAGAATATATAACTTTCAGTTACACAATTTATTTTGACATGTCCCACTTTGGAATGTGTCCATTTCTATAATGTCTTTTTATGTCCTGAAATACAAAATATTTTTGTTTTTATGTTGATACTATATAATTTTGGTATTATATAAATACATATTTCACAATTAATGACTACAAATATCTCTATTTTCTATTGCAGTCATACAATAATAAAAAAATATTTTTTCGGATATTACAAAGATATATCAAATCCTAGAGTCACAGAGTCGAAGGGGTTTAGCTATCATGATTTGTTGTGATGGGAATTTTGACGATAGGAAAAAGTACGAATGTTGTATATAAAGAACTGTTTAATAATATTTAGATTCACTTTTAATTTTTTTTTCTCATTTATTAAGTTATGATTTTAATTTAATTCTATATTTTTAATTACTTTTTCTTCTATTATATCGTTTTTCATGCAAATGCACGGAGTAAAACTAGTGTTATAAGTAATTTTGAGAGGGCAAACGAATTAGTTGAAATAATCTTCTCAAAACCGAAAATTGTTCAAATAACCTTGACTAATATATAGTAACATGAATTTTAATACAATCCACTTAATTACTAGTACAACACCCGTGTATTACACGAGTCTTGTTAAAAAATTATTCTTAAATTTTAAAATTAATGAGAAAATTTGTTTTAAACTTTATTTACTTTTTTTTACAAAAAAATATATATTATTATATATTTTAGAATGACACTTGTTACTTGTGCGACTTACATGTGTTTTATTATAGTAATTTTTATAACTTATATCATATAACTACTTGAAATATAAATATATTAATCGATAAATAATTTTATTTTTCTAATTAATATTAAAAATAATTTTATAATTGTTATAAGGATAAATATAATTTATTTTTTATACATACAATATGGATGTTGAATCGAAGCTCAATAAGAGATGATTAATTTGATATATTATATATGTAAAATTGATAAAAAAAAAATACAAAAGTTATTAACTTTTAAAATACATTTACAATTTAATGGTTATAATAAGAAATGTTAATAAAATGTAGTTAATACATGTAACATGACCATAAATAATCAACATATTTATTGATAATCAGGATCTAGTTATTTTTGGATTGGAAGTAAATTAAAATCTATCCAAGCCTACTAATAAAGCATGTAATTTTGCCACATAGGATCTTAAAGCATGCGAACTTGCCACTATTAAGCTCAAACTATTAAGCTCAAACCTCTCGACTCGACTTATTTAACAATACCTTTAGTTTGTAGTCAGTCTTGAAGTTTGTCAAAAATGTCATTGTAGTTTCCAAAATTTTTCGACCATATTGTGCCATGATGTTGGTCTTTTAAAAAAATATATGTATAGAGAACTTTTTTTTGTTAAATAATCCAAAAACATCTCCCATCTTCAATTTGAGCTCTCAATCACCTACAGTATGTTGGTGAAAGTTCCACTTTTCTCAACCGCCGCAACTCACTGAAATTTTTTGCAGGCAAGATCACGATATGTCCATATTATATTTATTTGATTTTTTTTTTTTTTTTNAAAAAAAGCTCCGTTAGAGGAAGACAAAAATTCCATTCTATACATATCATCCTACATAAAAGTTTTCATAAATTCAAACCGGGTTCTACCGTAGAAGACAACATTCATCACCATACACTATTTTAGTTTGTTTAGTGCTGATATGGTCCAAGATAGGCCACTCCGATCTTCCGAAAAGTTTCGCTTGGTTCAAGTGGAGGTATACCGGTTTGACGTGGTCCGCGTTCTTGAGCTCGCCGGTACCTGCAAAAGTACCGGAATTACTCCGGCGCAAGACCCTCCGACGCCCAAGTCAATATCTCGGACATTAACAATGATCTCGCAACAAAATGTAATGGAGGACAACAAAATGCAACGGAGGAATAATGAAATAAGTCTTCCCCTCTACTCTCATAATTTACCGTATATATAGTGTTTTAGGCTGTACGGACTACCTAGTGATCGCCGCTACTAAGGACTGAACCATAGTCAATGTTAGACCCCTTCTCATGGGTCAACACCTTATGGGTCGATCATGGCTTTACGGTCCGATCTCTTATTGGTCGAGTTGACTCTACGCCATGTGCTCTTTCATGCCTCGATTATTGGGTCGATGGGTCGACCCTGTGTCCTCGATTACCACTCTGGATTGCTCGACTTGGTGCTCAACTGGACCGGACCAATATTATAATCCCTATCAAGTGCAATAATAATAGAACAATCAACTTTATCAATGTCAAAAGAATCTTTTCTAATGATATAATAAAATTATTTTATTTTCTTGGTAAAGTAAAAGAATTTTTTGAGGACCGGGAAATTTCTTGATCAATGCGATAATATTCAGAGCTGGGACTTGCATCCTCCATATCCGTACTGCCCTCTGCAGGATCTTTTTCTCTGTCAGCAAAAACATTATATCATCTTAATTACCGGTTGCTAAATGCTCGATTATTATTGTTTACCAGTCCGAAAATTTTTTAGCTCTTTAAGAAAAAATACGAAGTTTTTTGACAATGATAACCAAACTTACATCTTCGAATATATTAAAATCCCAACCACAACAAGGATAAATGCCACGTAGTATAACCAATCTACCTGCAAAACTCAAATCCATTTTTTGGTATGGAATTATGGATTAAAGAAATTGAATGACTTTTCACAGGTGGTATCCACTTAATTCTAACAAGCTAAAATCT